AAGAAGAAGAAGAAGAAGAAGAAGAAGAAGAAGAAGAAGAAGAAGAAGAAGAAAAAGAAGAAGAAGAAGAAAAAGAAAAAGAAGAGGAAGAAGAGGAAGAGGAGGAAGAGGAGGAAGAGGAGGAAGAGGAGGAAGAGGATGAAGAAGATGATGATGATTATGATGACCCTCTTTGTTAAGCCCATTTCCCTGCTATTATACAGCACCCATTTAGCACCCAGTTGCTCCCGAGGAAGACTTAGAGGCGAAACGTTGAGCTGTTTCAATGAAACAAGTTTAAAACATTTTATATTTCTTTACTATTTTGTCTGAAAACTGAGCAAGACTCTCTCTCCTAGTCTGCTTTCTTAGCAATGATGATGATGATAATGATGATTGATGATGATGATGAAGGAAGAGGTCAAAACAAAAACCATCAATAATTGGATTCGACTAAACTACGAGCTGAGCGCATAAAATCATTACCACAACGTACCAATACGAAAGCTAAAATAAAAAGTCACATCAATCCCGTTAAAAAAGCAGAGGCGTTTGACCAGTGTGATGTAACACATTGGTGAATCTTTGGCGTCCCAGTGCATCATCCAATATCAGGGGACAAAAGACAAAGAAACAACAGGCAGAGAGGAAAGGCGCCACGCAAGTCACACAAGCCACAAGCCGGAAATGACAAACTCTGGTAGGCATTGCTTGAAAAAACAAGATCACGTCAATGGCCGCATCCAGTCTTATTGTCTTTGCGATGTCTGGCATTTTCTTTCTATTTCTTTCCTCTTCCTGCCCCTGCTCTTTTTGTGTCCTTTTCTGTCTATGTCAATAGCGTCGTGTTTGTCTTTGGGTGACCATTTCCACGATCTCTTTGACCCTCCCTCTTTTGTACTACCTCCTCTGTCCTCTCTTGGTCTTAGAGACTCGCCCCTGGGTCCCTCAATGTCTCCCCTCCACTCTCCCAGTTTCCCTTCTCCTTGGTCTCTATCTTTCAATCTCATCGATTGGTTCCCACACTTCGTCTGCTCACCTCCCTCCAGCAAATTTTTTTTTTGGTTATCGTTATCTACCTCTCTTGCTTTGCCCCGACCCCCCTCCCCCATTCCATAACTCCCACCCCCGACAATTCTTTTCCATCCCATATTTTGTTTTAGTCCTCTTGCTCCTATATCCACCTTTTTTGTCTATATCTCTATTTATGTCCCCCTCTCCTTCCCTATTTCACTATCTATCTATCTATCTATCTATCTATCTATCTATCTATCTATCTATCTATCTATCTATCTA